AATATTTTTACGGAATTCATTTGCACATATATTTTCAATGTCATGTAGGGCGGTTCTTATAGCTAACATGCAATATTCACAATCTTTTTCATAAAAGATTATGTAGATATTATTGTAGCGACTAGCGAGATTGTGGTAGTCATATCTTACCTTTTATGAAACAAACTATTAATTAATAACTAATAAGTGCTATCTTTTAATTTAGGCATGCAAATAATCTTATGGTTTTCAATTAGTTTTTAACTTAATCTGACGAGTAATCGTTACAATACAATTCTGAAAAAGGAAATGTAAGTTATGTAATCTATTATCAATTATGTATTGTGAATGGAATGAAAAAAAAAAAGGAATTGCCAATTAGTACTTCCACTTCTTCTTTTTTCATCCTGAAAGTAACTTTTTTATAGGTAAATTTATTATATAGATTTTTTATTTTTAAAAAAATCATAATTTTAAAGAAGTAGAAATTTTTTTAAAAATTAATGATGTAAGAGTAGAATTTATGAACATTTTAAAATTATTCAACTCGACAATCGTCCTCACAAGCACAGGTTTTTACATTCAGAAAGAAACATTTGAAAAATAAGATTTAGCTCTCAACCTTAGTCAGAACATGATCTGATATTTTACGATTTATCGAGGCAAATACATATAATTAACTAATATGATATATTTCAAGTGGTATGCTTTGGAAGGAACTGACTTTTGAAATCTTTATTCTTATTACATGGTCATGATATTATTTTTTAGTTTTCAGGAAATAGCAGGTACATTATATTACTTAAATAATAATTAACTTGATACCTGTATATTTGTTCACAATTTTAAAGTCACACTCCACCTTTAAATTTTTCTAATTAAAGTGGTATGTTTTGGAAGAAGCTTGTTTAAATTATTCACTAATGACAATGTTGATCTAGTTTTTTATCTTAAAATTGGTACCTCATGGTATTCTTTATGCGATATGTCAACTTCTTTTTGTAACATATTAATATCATTAACATAAAACAATCAATGTAGATTGAGTTGACCAGTATATCAATTTAGTAATGGCACAATAATTGAGGAGATTTTCTCAATGTTTTAGAGCTCCTTCTGACTTGGTAAATCATTTAATTGTTTGGCCTATTATATATTTGTTATATTTCTCTCTATTTATATATGTATGTGCAGAGTTAGAGTCAGGATTGTTATGTTATGAGTTTTGAACCATAGTTCGTTTTTGCTTATTGAGTTCTGAATAAGATTATTTGCACATAGTAGACGAACTTTGTTAATATAAATACATGATTTGAGCCAAAGTTATTGAGTTCTGTCAACTTGTAACTACTATACTGGCTCCGCCCCTGTGTTTTGTTAGTACTATGGTGATTGAGGCATTATCAATCCTCAAAGAAAATGTATGGGATCCATACATGGGACTTGAGGAAAAACTAGAAACAGTAAAAAGAATGATGGAAGTGTTGATTAGTCGAAGGAAGGATATCGCGGATGAGGTAAAAGATGCAGAGCATCATTCGAGTAAAAGACGAAAGACTGAGGTTGAAAATTGGCAAAATAGTGTACAAAAGCTAGAACATGAGTTTGAATGCTTTGAGCAAGAAGTAGAACAGAGTTCCAGCTTTTCGCGCATAGGATTGTCAAATCGTGCTGATAAAATTCATGAAGAAGTGGAATATCTCCTAGATCAAGGTAAATTTTCGGAAGGAATTTTGCTTCATTTATACGAAGGGAAGATGCAGCCGTTGGTGATGACAAACTTGAAAGGTGAAGCATTTGTGGAGAGTCTAAGAAAGGTGATAACGCCGTTGAATGAAGTTTCAAGTATTGGCATTTATGGTATGGGAGGTGTGGGGAAAACGACTCTTGCAATGCATATACATGATCATCTCCTCAAAGAATCAAGATTTTCGGGTAATGTTTACTGGATTACTGTATCACAAGATTTTAGCATTTCTAAAATTCAAAACAATATTGCTAAAACTATCGGTCTAGACCTCTCGAGTGAGGATGATGACAAGAAGAGGACAGCAAAGTTGTTCCATAGTTTGAAGAGGAAGAAAAGCTTTGTGCTCATATTGGATGATGTATGGAACATATTTGATGTAACAAAAGTGGGAATTCCACTGGAAATTGGTGGAGGTAAGTTAATCATAACTAGTCGATCGTCTGAGGTGTGTGATAAGATTGGCTGCCAGAAGAAAGTAAAAGTAGAAACTCTTTCAATGACTGAATCATGGGAATTATTCATCAAGACACTTGGTTGTCAATGGGGAGATCTTTCGATGGAGATGGAAGAAATCGCGAAGAAAATGACTAAGAATTGTGATGGATTGCCATTGGGGATAATAACTATGGCTGCAAGTATGAGAGGAGTTAACGATGTTTTTGAATGGAGGGACGCGTTTGAAGAATTCAAAGACTCTTGTATGGAAATGGAGAATATGAACAATGATGTGTTTCCAATTCTCCAGTGTAGTTATAACAGATTGAGAGATCCAAAACTACAAAAGTGTTTTCTTTATTGTTGCTTCTACCCTGAAGACTACAAAATTCGGAGAGATGAATTGGTTCGCCTTCTCATTGTGGAAGAGTTGCTTGTCAAAAGGAACAGTAGGAAGGCAGAACTTGACCAAGGCTATGCAGTATTGAACAAATTGGAAAGGGCGTGCTTACTAGAAAGTGTCGTGAATGGAAATGGATCTCGATGTGTGAGGATGCATGATTTGGTGAGAGAGATGGCATTGCGAATTGCAGGAGATGAAATTAATTTGATGGTGAGAGCAGGAGCACAATTGCGCGAAATACCAGGGGAGCAAGAATGGTCAGAGGATTTGGACAAGGTTTCTTTGATGAATAATGATATAAGCAAAATTTCACAGCCTTTATCCTCTATATGTCCGAAACTTACAACTTTGTTATTGCAAGGAAATTGTAGTCTGAGTCAAGTTATCGATCCCTTTTTCACGCAGATGCCTGGTCTACGTGTTTTGGATTTAAGCTATACCGCGATACATCAGCTGCCTAGTTCTGTGTCAAATCTAGTAAGTCTCTCTGCATTACTGTTACGACGTTGTTATGGACTTAGATTTGTGCCACCATTGAACAATCTGAAGAACCTCATTGAGTTAGACCTTTTCCACACAATTATCCAGGAAGTGCCTCAAGGTTTAGAAAGCTTAGTTAAATTAAGATGCTTGGACATGACAAGAAATGAAAGAGTTCCAAAGACACTATCTAAGAAACCAGCTGTGGACATTTTAGCTAGGCTCTCTAATCTTCAATTCCTCTCGATTCCTTTCGTTGTACGAGTAGAAGACTTACTAGGGATGAGACAACTAGAGGTATTTCATGGAAAGTTTATTGATGTTTGTAGTTTTAATAGATTTGTGAAATATCAACAGCGTTGGGGGAAGCCGAGTTCCTTTGTAATTGCTTTAGATACAAAAAGTTCTTCCGAGCCAATTTTGGAGAGTGATCATCTTTCTTATGATTTGACCTTTTATGGTGAACGGGTGATTCTAAGGCATCTTCTTCTCACTGGAGACAGCATAGAGATGCTACGCTATGACCAGATAGAAGATGAAGCGCGAAATGTGACTCTTCTACCAGTAAACATTCAGGAGTTACTTATTTCAGAATGTGATTTTCGCATGTTGGGTGATAGCTTGTTGGATACTATTCCATCTCTTATTCAGACCAAAGACTTGAGACTAATTAAAATTGGAAGATGCAATGGGATAGAGTTCCTAATTAGGACATCGAATTGTAGATCAACGAGACATCAGGGACCCATGTCTACTTACAACACACTCGAAACTCTTGAGAGATTGGTTTTGCATTGCTTAAAAGAATTCAGTGGTCTTTGTAAGTTGGAATTAGTAGAACCATTGCCTCCTGTTGGAACCTTTTCCCATCTCCGGTGCCTTGATGTTTCGTTCTGTGATAAAATGAAGAAGTTAATCCCTAAGTGGCTGCTGCAATACCTCCAAAATCTCACAGAAATTACTGTAAGGATTTGCGAGGAAATGGAAGAGATAATAGCAGATGATGAAGAAGAACAAGTTAATCAATGTGCCTCATCATCGAATATTATTGTTCTACCAAAGTTGCAGATTCTTTATTTACATGCATTGCCAGAACTCAAGAGCATATACAAGGGTAGAATGACTTGTGGTTCTATTCAACGTGTAACAGTTTCGTTATGTGGGAAGCTGAAGAGACTTCCATTTACTCTTCTTCCTCTTCAAAATGGGCAACCATCAGCTCCACCAGATCTTGAATTTATCAGAATGAGTGAAAAATCATGGAAAGCTTTGGATTGGGACCATCCTCAATACAAGAATGTCCTCCATCCTTTTGTGAAAAAATCATAGATACAAACCTCATGTACATATTTCTACTCATATTGCTTAGATTATTGTAGAATGGCTTCGTGTATATGGATTATCTCAAGCTAGTTCATTGTGATATTTCATTTTAATAATCATCAATCTTGAGCATAATTTTTACTTGTATCTGAAGTATTGTTGAGATTATATGAATGATTGCGAAAAGAGAAATCGATTTGAAATGGTTAAATAGGGGAGAAATATGTTGCAAAATATTTGGTGTAATCTAGCTTTTTTGGTTAGTACTGCAATAAGGATGAACACACTATATCGAGTGATAAGGTTTGTGTATATCCTACCCTCTTCAGACTCCACTTGTGGGACTACACTAGGTATATTGTTGTTGAGACCACCAAAGGATGTGGTGCAATGGATGGAGTTGCTCCCCCCTTAACCAAAGGTATCGGCTTCAAGCCCTGGGTGTGGAAAAATCCTTGGTAGGGAGTGCTACCCAACACAAATCTAGATTAGTCAGACTCCAATGGGGTAGGGACACCGGATGAGAAACAAAAAAAAATAATTAAGTGCATCCTCTTTTGGAGACATACTCTAGCTATGTGTCTATTCAGAACATAAAGAGACTGAAAAAAATTTAACAAGAGAGTATCATCACATTGGAAAAACTCTGACTGAGCAGAGTACCAGACATTCATAGTATGCTGCAGTTCAATGTACATACAGAAGGAACCCTATCTTTGCAGTGTTACAAACAGAATCAGCAGCATTCTGCACTATGAAGTTCAAAAATATTTCGAGTTAGAATGCATTTTTATTTACAACTTCCCTCACTTTTTTATCTTTTCAGTATTTTCCTCTCATCACGATTTTGATTTCTAACTCTTCTTTTCTTTTAAGATTTTTGTCGCTGCCATGTGTAGCGGTCATTGGATGTCTCATCTGAATTCCTTGAAGTGTAAACGAAGTGGATCATCACATGAATTAGTATTGGCCCTGTCTGCACCTTAAAAGAATTTAGGGAGAAGTGAGTCAGTGACTGACTGTCCAAAAAGTAACAATCCTGAAAAAGCCAATGATTTTATCTGCTCTTTCACATTTATCGTTATTCATTAGATCGTTGTCGTGCTTTTGAATAAAGCTCAAGTGTATCTGCATGGCTAGAGTCAAGACACAGTGCTGCTTCGCAATCTCGAATGGTAGACGTAGGCTCATTCATCGAGTCATGAAAAGCTGCTCGAAGATGGAGCAGGTGTAAGTCAGGCTTGAAAGCTATGACTTTTGTTAGCTCTGAAATGGCCTCAGATTCCTTATGGTCATCCATTAGAACTGAAAATACAAATACAGGATATTACTTCTCTAGCCAATCAATCAACTAAGAGATATAAAGATTTCAAATAGCAGAAATGATCTCTTGAATGATCTAACTTCTCAGATTCTGATGCAAAAATATTTATTTATGTTTGGCAACCAAGTAAAAGTGACCATATTTTAAGACATAGATGCCAGGAGGGAGCAAGGCGTGATTGCTCTGTCATCCTCCGGCCGTCCAGACCCCCGCACGTCAGAAGGGTGGACTGACCGCACTGATTGGATTGTTTTCCTCATTAGTCCGATTTTCAAGTAAAACAGCCAAACGACTTAAGTCGCTTCTTCTCCCATCAGCCAAGTGAAGTTCCCTCAATAAGAACATTTCTTCTCTGCTACCAAATATGTCCACTTTGTAGCACGGAAACTAGGTTGTACAAGACGGATTCTTTTTAAATCAAACAACAATGACGGTGCGCCCAAAGCAATCATAAGAATACATGGAATTGAAGAAAGATTTGGTTGACCAAGTAGTTAACTTTTTGTCATTACACTTGTTAAGGGACAGAATTCAAGTGGGTTTCACTAATATCTTTCTCTTTTTTTATTATGTATGCCAACCTACAGCCCACACAAGAAAACTCATATATAAGCATGCACAAGAAGTTATACGTCATTACATAGGGCAAAAGCAACTAGACGCCCGTCTAGGACCACAATCAATAAGACTCCACCTCACTACATATGGCATGAAAAGATGCAACTTACCAGCTGCTTTGTATCTGTATGGATATGTTCTGAGGGGATCTAACTTTGTTGCCATTGTAAGATCACTTTTTGCCAATTCACGATCACAATATTCAGAACGCTTCTCATAAGCTGATGCATTGTAGCTTGCCTTTTCAATCAACTTTGTCATCTCATCATATGCGGCTTTCCTCTGGTTTTTGAGGTGGTAAACACGTGCCAGGCCCTGATGGGCTCGTGTATGCTTAATAGTCAAGGCATTCACGTAGCAATCAATTGCACTGTCTAGCTTATCAACATCTACATAGATACTTGCCAGATTACTCAGAGCCTGCAGGAGTATATAACTTTTTGAGTGAATATTCTGGTTCATTAGACGTCATGTATTTGTATATTCTTGAAAGAAGCACTCACCTGGCCTTTCCTAAGACCATCTGAAGGGCATCTAAGAGCTTCCTCAAGCAGTTGTATTACATACAATGATGACTCAGAATCTGAATTTGTTTCTGATAAAACATATGCTTTTAGGAAAAAGGCTTCAAATGATCTCTGGATTGAGATGGACTCTTCAGCTTTAGAAATAGCTTCTTCACGATAACCTGTGTCATATAGTATCCATCCTTCATAGACTAGCCTTTCATGCTCGGAGGTAGCTTGGTTTCGGGCTTCTCTCAGACTACGCATTGCAGCTCTGTGGCTGTTCAACCTGTAAATAAAACTGCAAATCAGTCTTATAGAATTCATGGAGCACAAAAGAACATTACTCTAAACTCCAGCCAGGTATTCAACTTGAGCTACTCATGCATGAGAAGACAACTGCCTGATGCAAAGTTGTTATAATGAACTGAGAGTTATGATTAAGAAAATTGTTAACATAGAGAATTGAGATCATACTTTAATCGATCATTTAGAGATTGTTCAAATACCAATACAAAAAAATAATTGCACAGATTTTCTGGTTAATCAATTGATGTAAATGTTAAGAGCTTCAAGTTTCTTAAAGTGATTCAATGTAGACAGCCAGCAATGTAACATGCACCTGATCAGGAATGATTTGCCAATGACAAATAAAAAAACTAGATATATACTTAAATCATACCGTAAAAGAAGGAGAGATTGCCTGAACAGTAAGAGACTCTTCCCAGGGTCATTGGCCAACATGTGGTGAACAACACCTAAGGAGCCAATATCATCTACAGAGGACCATCTGTCATATAGTTGCATCCAGCAATCAGCCTGATTGCGCTGCTGAACAGTATGACGTAACAGCTCCACCAATTTATCACCTTGCAATTTCCCATGGAACATCACGTACTGGGGATCCAAAGTCAACAGTGCTCTGACATCCCTTAAAGCCCCTTCATAGTCCTCCAGGGCAATTAAGAACCAAGCACGAAGCTCAAGGCAGTCAGGAGAGACCTTGAAACCAATTATTTTGTCGATCTCAGAAATGGCTGCCTCAGTTCTATTCTCCTCAACCATTGACATAGCTCTGTATTTATATGGATAAGAAAGGGTTGGATCCAATTCAGTAGCGGTACTCAAGTCCATCGTCTTTTCCTTGCCATGACAATACAGGGATCGCTCCTGATACATCCACCCAGAAGGTGTGCAGTCAGATATGATGGAGTTCATCAACTTATATGCCTTGTACATATGGCCGCGCTTGTACTTGGCTCTGGCAATGCCAGCTAAGGAATAAACATGACCAGCTTCAACAGCTGCCTCAAACCATTTTTGAGCATCTTTATACTCTTTTCTTTCAAGCATCACACAACCTAGCTGGTGGAATGCAAGCTGTTTCTGCCAGCCTATGCTTGAAAATTCTCCCAGTCTTTCCAAGAGCATTACAGTTGTGTTTGATTTCATGTCCTCCTCCATAGCTGTTCGGGTCAGAAAATAATACAGCAAGAACGAAGCATGCCCTGCAGAAGCTAATCTGTCCTTACCCTCTGAACTGCAGAAGAGCCTTGACACGTTGGGGTTGTGCATTGAATTTGGAAGTTCCCTCAATAGCACCTGCAAGCAAGCTGCCACGAGAACATATGAGGTCTCCTCCAGCCCATATTCAATAAGTAACATAGCACTATCCATATCAAAAACCAATGATGCTAAATAAGCATCACAAGCAGACTTCATTTCATTGCAACAGAACTTGTTGGCCAATGATAGGAGCTCTAAGACAGTGTCTGGATCAAAAGACTCCACACTTTTCGTTCTGCTGAACATCTCAGCAGCTTTCATCCCCTTTGCAGAAATCCCATTCTGTGAAAAATTTATCTTCTCCCTTCGAGACTCCATAAAACCATCATACAGCATCACTTTAAATGGCCTCGAAAGTGAAGCCATATTAAATCTCCTACACCTTATCTCTTCATCCCCCATGCAAAATGACATATCATAATCCTCCTCCTCATAATCATGACTAATTGATGTCGAACATTCCTCATCTCCAATGTAAATTTCAGTATCCTCATCTTGTACAGGTCTCTGGTGACACAAACAAGGATCAGTAGCTAATTCAGGATTATACCCTGACACCAAAGAACTCCTCGGACATTCAATACTTCGCCCACAACAATCCATAGCCGATACACCAATAAGCTCATCCTCTCTTCTATCAAACCTCAACCACGCGGAAAGCACAACCTTAGAATGCACATCAACAGCATGTTCTCTACCCGACTTTAGGCACTTCCTAAATAACTTAGGATCTGATAACCCCTTAAATATTGCACATTGTTCAAGATACATCCCTGATATCTCAAACTTAGAACAACCCTCCATCCTACGATAAACATCAGCTAACGTCTCCACAAAATTAACAGATTTCAGATAAGATTCAATCTGGGGTTCAATAAAATCAGTTTGAGGTAGGCCATAACTAGCTAAAGCTTCAACTAAAACAGCAGATTTCACATTATCTTTGGGTTGCATAGCTTGGTAATTCCTATTAGACTTTGACCTAACAGAACTTACCCTTTCATGAAGATGTTGTAGAAATTTCTCACCAACCCCACCTCCACCACCATAACCATTAGTTGTGGTTTTCCCAGATTGATTAAAAGCATAAATTTGTGTTCCTTTACATCCTTCAATCATATTCAAACTACGCATCGTTGCAAAAATGTTATGTTGCATATTCCCTCAAATTAACAAAACACACAGTTGCAATCAATCAATCACCCAGAAAGAAGGGGGAAAAAAATTCAATGGGTAACTCAAAAAAAACTAAATGTAAAATTAAAAAAAAAAAAAACAAAATTACCTGCAAACACCACTGTTGAAAAAGGGGGGAAAATGGAGAAAACAATGGTGTTGCAGGTTATTTGGGGCTTTTAACAATTCTGGGTGTTTATTATTATTATTTTTTTCTGACGCCGATTCTTTTACATTTTCTTTTGGGGGAAGAAGAAAAGAAAAGGAAAAAAGGGGACATTGATGGGTTGAGTTTTCTCTTAGTTTACGCGAAGAACAAATGTAGATTGATTATGAAGGAAGAATGGTGGCCATTGAAAGTGTAAACCACTCCTTATAGATATACAAATTACACTTACGTGTATACTCTGTTTTCCCAACAGAAATGGAATGGCTGTATGTTCAAATCCGTTAAAGGTGGAGAGCCCATCAAAAAGGAAGAAGAACAATACCATTTTTTCGACCCGAATCCATTGGACTATCCGTAGTTTTTAGGAAAAAATTGATACCTCCATTAATGGAGTCTCCTACATGCAACTAATTTCATCAAATAGGTACAATTAGGTCTAGCTCAATTCATATTAATTAGCCTATGGGATCACAATTACTCAAAACTATTTAGTACTAACATATACTCCTAACTAGGGATGTACAAGTCAAATCAAACCGATGAACCAAATCAAATCGAAAAAATAAATAAATTTGTGGTTTGGTTTGGCGGATGAAAAAAAAACCCAACCACTCTTGGTTTGGTTTGGTGTTAAAAGAAAAAAAGTCAAACCGAACCGAAATCAAACCAACATAATATATATATATATATATATATATATATATATATATATATATATATATATATAAAATTTTATTTTATTTATAGATAAAAAATATTATTTATAATCTACTTTGTTGATATATTTTTAGTTAGTTTATAGTTTTCAATGTTTATATATTTTATTTCAAATTTGGATATATATAATTTTATTTTATTTATAGATAAAAAATAGTATTATTTATAATCTACTTTGTTAATATATTTTTAATTAGTTTATAGTTTTCAATGTTTATATATATTATTTCAAATTTGGGCTTGTAAAATTTGTAAATATTTTATTTTGTATTAAGATCCAAAGTTACAATCTTATTGTTATAGCTTTTCAAATTCGAAGTTAACAATTTACTTTGTAAATATTTTGTTTTGTATTCAGTTTGCCTCTAGCCTCATGTGAATTTTACCATCTTTTTGAAAATTTCTATTCATTTAACATTTTTTAAGTTTAGCTTATCACACAGGTAAGTGAAAGTATATTTGATCTCTTTTTCAAATACTAAAAAACAGAAAAAAACCAAAAGAACCGATTAAAACCGAAACCAAAAAACCAACTGATGTGGTTTGATTTAGTTTTTCGATTTAATAAACCGACATAATTGGTTCATGATTTTTTTTTAATGAAAAACCAAATCAAACCGACCTATGTACACCCCTACTCCTAACAACCGACTCTTTCGATCACCACGAGATATTCTAACTCTAGCTCACGTAAAATTGAATATTTGAAGCATGAATAACGTAAGTTGGGATCAAACAGATTGTAAACTTAGGAATAGTATTAACTTTGCATAATTAATCCCTAGATTATTGAGATATGATTTTAAATGAATTTTCTATAAGTATTATTTATGCTACTATTTTAAAAATATTTCGAAAATTACCTTATTTTAATGACTCTATATATGAAAGAGATATATTGTGAAAATCTCAATAATTATGTATGACCTTCAAATATGAGATACCCTCAAATGTAAATATTTAAGGCCAAACACATACACAACCCCTCAAACTTGTCTTCATTTTTCATTTTGACACTTCAACTTAGTCTTGTTTCATTTTAACCCTTAAACTCCATTTTTTATGTACCATTTAAACACTTATACTATTTTTTATGATTTGTTTTTATTTATGTTCTTCAATAGCAATTTCTTATTTTTAAAAAATAGACGTGTGCCTGTTAATTTTCGTAAAAAAATTAAACATTCGCGAACAAACATAAAAAATTTAAAACAATAATATTATTTTTTTGATATTTCTCTGTATTTTTGCATGAAAATAAATTGACGGAAATTCTTTGATTTTCTTTCTTAAACATTCAATTAAATTAAATAACACTACTTATTTATTTTTTCTTATCATCTAAGTTATCTAAATTTAATGCAAATACTCACTTTTAATTTTTAATATAAATCAATACGAATAAAAAAAACCATCTTCAAAAAGACTCGACTGACTTTGTTAATAACACTACTAAAAAAAAACTCTTGTTCATTGCTAATAACACTACTAAACAATGTTAAAACTCAACTGACTTTGTTAGGTTGTCGGTGATTTTAAAGAAAGAAAACCAACACAATTTCGTCGGTTATATTTCACACAAAAATACATAACACTCTTAAAAAGAAATTATTATTTTTTAAAAAGAATTATTTTTTGTTAATTTTTATTTTTTTAACTAAAATTAACTAACACATGTCAATTTAAAATAAGAAGTTGCCATTGAAAAATATATATAAAAATAATATTTCGTGTTAAAATGGAACATAAAAAATGGAGTTTAAGGGTTAAAATGGAACAATGCTAAGATAAAATGTCAAAATGAAAAATATGGACTAGTTAGAGGGGCTATATATGTGTTTGGGCCTATTTTCCTTGAGTATGTTATATCCACATGCAACATGTAAACATTTAACAACATCACATACATCAAGATGAACATGCATGATAATTATTTCAAACTTGATTGGGAGGATCAAAATAAAATTAGTTTAAAAAGGATGAAAGACGACAGATATGCTCATTCTCAAAGAATGCTAGATCCGCATTAATAGGCACACATATTTGTTTTGTTATAAATAAAAAAATAGGCAAACATATCCTTATGGGGAACTTATTATATAGTATTAATAATAATAATTTGTTTCGTGTTACAGAGTCTAAATGAAAGAGAACAAAACTTGTGTCGGAGTTGACTTCTTCGAATCTTTTCAGACCATGTGTTTGTTCAGAATATTAATTTTTTTCGGTGTTTGATCGGAGAGTGAAAAAATAACTATTGAATATTAATAATAATTGTAATCGGATCATAATATATATTCTGACTACATTTTCAAGTATTAAAGATTAATAATAATATCATGAAAAGTAAATAGTTGAAAATAATTCTAAGAAAAATGACTTCCTTCTTAAAATTAGACGAACCTCAAGAACTTTAATTAAGCATTTTTGTCTTAATCTCAAAATATACATTTTTCTTCTATATATTCATGAAGTTTTTGGAAAAACTTAACATTTTAGAGAAAGATAAATGTTTGTTGGCTATGATGTATTATGAATGTGCCAATATGCAAATGAGATGATCGATAATTAGATTAAGGGATGGATTTGCCGGTTTGGATGAGAAGTAACATAATCTTTATTCGATTTAATTCTTTTAGTATGAGCATGACTTAAGAGAGTGAATGTACTGTTGAACTATTGGGATCTTTGACAAGTTCTTCCTAAATTAATTGTTCACATTGAGAATGGACTAATTACTTCTTCTACTTTGATATATCCTATTATTAGCTTAGTCAATTTAAATAAACTTATCCTAATGCATCAATGATTATTTAGGTCAATCGAACCATGCATATACCACCTTATTCAAACCATATTATACGAGTTAGACTTTGATGTTGTTCATTTTATTAGGAAAAAGAAATTGTTCATGATATATACTTTAAAGTACGCCACTTAAATCTCGAATACTTAGACTATTTACTCTCTTTGTTAATTTTTACTGGTCATGTTTCGTTTCTTGAGAGTCAAACTATATGAATTTTGATCAATATTTTAAAATATATTTTTTTTATCATATTAATATGAGAAGAATTATGACTTATAGTATTTTTGTAGAGTTTTTGAATTTTTAAATTTTAAGTACTCCCTTTGTCCCAATTTATGTGACACATTTCGCTTTTCGAGAGTCAAACCGTTTAAGTTTAACCGAGAATTCGCTCATGGAATCTTCAAATTATTTAAAATGAAATTTATATATTTATAAACTACATAAAAAGTACTATAAGTCTCAATAATTGGTAATTCAAAATATTTAAAAAATATATGAAATATTTACGGTCAAAGATAAACTTGTTTGAATCTCGAAATCCGAAATGTGTCATAAATTGGAACAGAGGGAGTATTATATTTATTTTATTTTATTTAACTTTTAGATCAAGCAAATTGACTCTCGTGAAGCATAAAGTGACAAATGAAAATGAAGGGTGGAGGAACTTGGAAGTATATTAATAGATTTAACTGATGCTGTTGTTGACAATTTTTTTGGTGTAGAAAGTTTCAAATTCAGAATCTTCCACTGCGCGAATTTCCTGAGAAACGAAGTCATAGGCACGTAGGGTAAATTAATATACACATTATCATATAGGAGTAATTTAACATGTAAATAGAATGTTATTTGTCTTATTCTTGAAATCTTGAGGTTATTGAATATGAGTAATTCGGAGGGGTAATAAAATTAGTCCATAAAAATATAATTATTTTTTTTTCATAGAAATGCTAATACGTAATCTTACGTTTTCTTCGGCTTGCTCATTCGCTTATTTATTACGGTAGTTTATCTTATTTTAATCTATAAAAAAATTAGGTTACTACATAACTCATTAATTAACTCTACTAATTTTGACATATTCAAATTCAATTCTATCCGCATATTAACACTCTCTAGCTGGTTACTGATAGCATGCAGGGTGATATAAATAACGTAAATTTTCTTAAGAAACCATCCATTTCATAAATCACCGATACAGACTCATCACACTCTAATCATAGCTATATCATGTGTAGTGGAAGCAGCTAAGCAAAGGTAGGTTAGGAACACAGCCCGTGATTCCCGTCGCAATGCAAGCTGCAAACAACAAATTAATTTTCCTTTCTTTATA